TCGCATCCACGCCTGCTCCTGAGCAGTGAGAGAGGGTTTGATTGGGACACATATTTGTTTGAAAACAGCTTGTAAGTTCTAAACCAGTGGTGGAAATAAAAATGATCAATTGAACCCCATCTTTTTTTTTTTACCTTTTACTTAGTCATTCCACTGACTGGATCCAGGTTAATGAAAACCAAGGCCTTCACTTTTAATACCTTTATGAACTTAGCATTTCATCAGTCTCCCAGAGTAAAAGAAACAGCACCCTGGGAAACAGGACACTGTGCTGTCACTGCCTTTGCGATTCTGAAGTTCTTTACAACTCAACTTTGTGCTAATGAATCACCTTCCTGTCTTCACATGGAAGTATAAAAGCGATCTAAACAAAGCTGTTTGGAGGTTTCAAGTAACCCTGTGGCAAAGAAAGAATGGCTCAGTTGCACTGCAGATCCCCTTGGTAGGCCTCACAACTGTGGCTCGATGAGGGCGGGACCCCCAAGAGTTTTGCTCACTATCCCACTAGAACAGTGCCTGGTTGATACACAGCACAGCTTCTGGCCGACGAATAACCAATCATACAGGTACTCTGTGCCACATAATTCAAGGAAGGATAAAAGGGTAAAAAAATGTTACAACGCCCTGGCCTTTGAAGACATGCTCTTCAATGCAACACAGGTTAACACCATGAGCAGCACACCTTAAATAAAAACAGACCACGCTCCTCATAAGAGCAACTCTGGAAATACGGCAACAAAACACTCCCGAGGAGCCGGGGCTCAACACAGGCCTCCACGTGGTCCGTCCAGCAGCTCTGACTGCCCTTACTGCTCACTGGGAACTGGACTGAGACAAAGTCAAGGCACCAGGTAAAATTTCCCTGGACAGTCCAAAATTTTAAAGTATTTGGAGCATTCAAGTAGCCTAGAAATCCTTCTAAATCCTAAGAAAACAAAACAGACTGACACCTTTTAGGCCACAGAGGAGCCAACAGTATACACGGATTCAGAATAGAATGTTCCACCCCGAACCTGTATAATGTTAAAAAACGTTACTTCAATAAAAAAGCTTTTTTTAAGGCTGAATTCATCTAAACTGACTGGATGCTACTCCCACTACTGAGACAATGATTATTTAACATGAAACTGTTTTGGTTTCCGAGTCTTTAAAGCTCTATGGAATTTAGCCTTTGGGGTAGTAATAATTAGCATTAAGTACTTTTAGAATATTAACACTGAACAAACCTTAGGTCAGGCCCACAAAGTAGCTGAATATCAGAGAGGCTAAGGAATGTGTCCTAGAGGCAAAGAGCTAGTCGCCAGCCTCTATTTACTGGAAGTCAAACACCTGACTAAGCTGTGCTCGGCTTCAGTGGGGTGAGGGGACCATGCTGCATGGAGGGCTGGGCCCATGCCAAGTTCCTCCCTATGCTCCCTCCCCCAGCCTCAGGTTAGACTCACAGGCCAGGTCCCTCCGCTGCACTGCAGCATGGAGCTGGACTAGATTCCAATTACCCGTGTTCTCTAGGGACCCCCAAAGCCAGCAGGTCAGTCCAGCACCAGCACCAGAATCTGCTCTCACTGGGTTTTCTTAAATTGGAGTCTGATTAAGATTTCAATTCTAAAAACACGTGTCTCTGCTTTAACACATTAACACTAGTCCTTGCTGGTTCTAATGTTCTTGGGTCCAATGTTGATATCTTTCCCCTGTTTTACAAGGTTTGACATATATTTTCTCAAAATCCTAGATAAAAATGTTAGTACCCATATTTGGATTTCGCATCTTTACGTGGTGAAACACTGGGACGGAGCTAACATTTATCTGGTAAGCCTTCAATGACTTTCACGAGCTATAACCCTTATATGAGAAGGCCCAATTATTTTCATAAGGATCTGTTACATAAAAGATTTATCAGAAATTCCTTGTGGTGGGGGCCTCCCTGGTGGCACAGCCATTGAGCGCAGGGTGCAAAGCTGTCCGCAGCCTCTGCAGCGCCGGTTCGATCCCTGGCCGCCAGCAAGGGTCCCACATGGCGCGCAGACCTCTCCTGCCGCCTGCTGCTCCCCTCAGCAGTGTATTTCGTCAGTCTGCCTGTTCTGCTCTCTGCTCTGGTTCTGGTGAATTCTCTCACCCTACCACCCTTCTGCGTACCCAGTGCTTGTATAAATAAATAAATAAATCTTTAAAAAAGAAAAAAAAAAGAAAGAAAGAAATTCCTTGTGGTAAAAAAAGACAGGAGCACCATATTGGGAAGACTGCAGCAGGTGTGGCTAGCTGCTTATGACCTGACTTTTTGGTGGCTGCTTGTCGCTGCTCCTTTTTCTGTCTGTAATGGTAAGACAAAAGTGTTTATGTATCTCCTGAATTAGCTACCAGCAGCTCTAGTCATCAGGTGTTGCACAGAGGACAGCTGGACGAGCGGCAATGGACTCAATCTGCAGTCCTGTTACCCCAGGAATGTCGAGGGTTTTCTAGCACAGGACTGGAAAGTCATGAAGGGCTAAATACCTTTTATATTAACCCCCACGTTGATTCAGCTATAAAGGCCCCAGACAACGTGCCCATGTATTGATACTTCTTTGTATTTCCACCACTGCTTTTATATCATTTTGAACTGTCTACTTTTTGCTAGTCTTCTACAAAATAATTTTTACATGCTATTGTCATTGTTAAATTCTTAAAAGCAAAGAAAGCTTGGTAAGCTTGGTAAGCTAGTATTCACTAAGATTGCCAAACTACCTTTTGATATTAAAAAAGCAGCAAATAGCCAGTTATTTTATTACACAAAAGTGGAGGCACTAGCAGGTGGAGAGTACCTTTTCTCTTGGTTATTCTCTACACATCTCAAGAATTGCATTATTTCCCCTTCCCCAAAAACTGGTCCCTGAAAGAAACTAGATATTTTCATGCCAAGCGTCTGTTCACATTGTAAACATGGGAACAGCTATTCTCAGCATGTCTGTGGAAGACCATTAACTGCTTCACTGTATCTGACTTTCATCAAGTTTGTTGATGAATCTTAACTCAGAGAATTGCACTGCATGTGTGAATCTCTATTACAAGCTCTCTGACTAAACTAAGAGGTCTCCTTCCACACAGTGGCGATGGTCCATGAACGAAAGCATCCCCTAATATCAAAGACACTGGTTTCCAGTGCATTCCTGGATAACTGAAGTCACTTAAACACTTCAGCTGAAAAGTTAATGAGTTAAAAAGAATCATGGTTCCCTTCTTTTCTCTATTACTAACACCTACTCAAAGAAAGTTAAAGTTAAAATACTACTGCCTACCCATATACATGTTTTAACTTAAAAACTATCGATCAATTTAGGATGCAGATAATTTTAACCACACATTAATTTTAACTGCTATGCCACATTTCAGCATAGCATTAGATTAAATTGATGATGTTTATATAACATTCTGTAAATAAATCAGCAGAAGTTAAATACAAATTAGAGCCTTAAATTTCCCATTGACTTAGTAAATGAAGATTTTAAAGTTCATCACAATAAATGTACTCTCCTGACTAAGTAGAAAGTTCTAACTAATATACAAAGTGATTTCTATATAAGTTCATTCTTTCAAAAAAAAAAAAAAACACCCTACATTAAAGTGTTGTCAAAAGAAAAGTTCAAAATAATTCCCTTTATGTGCTGGACAGCTCTGCATTTATCTAGAAATTTTACTTTAATATTTATACAGATAAAGAAAAGTAGTATGGCACTTATACTAAGGCTTTATGAGCTGTAGACACCTAAGCTAAAAATGAATCACTAAAGATCCATTTTAGGTCTATGCCATCTAGCTCATAATGTCTTTTTGTAGTATCAAGGGTAATTCTGGATACTTTCAAAAATAACACGAGTAGAACCAACCTCAGGCTTAAAAAAATAGTCAAATGTGAAAATAGAGCTCAATACTAAGAAATGAACACCATCAACTGAACATGCTCCTGATGGCTATTGGAAAAACTCCTCCTTATTGAACAATTTAAAAAAAAATCCATTCCATGTCATTGAAAAAGGGGAAAAGCAGGAGGAAATAAAGAGTAAAGTTAAACATTAGCTTTTTGAGTAACCCATGAACTTAATCATTAGTACTCAGCTACTCAGACTAGTGGCCATCACACCACAGTGCAGTTAGTGGACGGCCGTCAGCACGTTAGACAGTGGTTACTGCCACAGAGGGACGAGTGGCTGGCGTTCCACACCACAGGACTACTCCGTTACCCTCGAGGAGTCTGTGGGTGAAGGAAGCCCCTCAGCAGCATCCTCCTTGATAACCTCCTAACAACACAAAACAAGAGTGTAGGTGAAAGGTGAGGGGATGAACCAAACTAGGATGATGAATGAACACGATGTAAAAATAACAAAACATGACACTGAAACCTGTATGTGATTAGGTTTTTCCTTCGGCGACTGATTTAAAATTTAGATGCCAGTTTAAGAGCTATAGATTTTACCTCCTGGCTTATAAAAATATATCAACAGGAATTTTTTTTAATTGTTAAGTTTATCATCAGGAACACCTAAGATTTTAGGCACAAATGCATTTTTTTGGTTTTGGATAAGACTCCATAGTATATTTGAATAACTTTCCTTATCCTATTTAATTTCTGCCATTAGATTAAAGTGTTCTGTCAATACATCCTTTAATTTTTCACAATAGGGCTAACATCTATACAGACGCCATATACTTATGTCCTTTAAAAAGAGTCAAAATTAGCAGATGTAAAGGTTTAGTTTTTAAAGCTTTGATAACAAACACTACATTACAAGCCAGCAACTCAGGTTGTAAACAACTGAGCACTTACTGAGATTGCTAGTCATTTTTCTTCCAAAGATATTTACCAGAAATGAAAACAACATACATCTTACGTTAGTAATAGCTTATATTTCTTAATATTATTTAAAAAATAAATAACGCTCTTTTACTAAGAAAGGAAATAACCAAACCACTAATGCTATCTATGATTTTATTAGATTAATACTTTAGTTACCCTTTTTTATACTTACTAGGCCATTGCTCTGATCTCTGGGCAAATTCGATTTTACTGATGGACGTGAGATGAGATGTTGGGAACTGCCAGGGTAATACCTTGGCGTGTAAAGGTATGGGGCAAAGAATGGCTATGGAAAAAACACGTAACAAAAGAAGGGGATAAACAATTACAGAAATCAAAGTGTAATGAGACTTATCAAATGAAACTAACCAATAAAATAACAACTCCAAAATTTTAATACAAGTGGGAAAAAAAAAAAAGAAAAGAAGGCTCACACATATTCCATATGACCTCAAAACCCAAACTTAACACATACTATTTAAATTTTCAGATTGTTATATTAATTAATTTTGTTTGTTTGTTTTAAAGCAACAAAGTTGTTCATCTTAGTCTTACTTAAGGCTAATCTCAATAAGTAAACAACTATACAAGCCTGATGATGACTTGAAATGAACCTCTGGAAATGGGCTAGTGCTATTATTGACATCTGAGTCTTACGAGCAGTATATTCTATCATTATCTCACATTTAAAAGCTAGAACACATACAAAGTACAGGTTCACTAAACTACTGTCAAAATTTAAGTGAATCCTTTTAAATGTCAATATAAATTCTGAGACAAGATGTAACAAATGGAACACTTGTTTATAAACAAGTACAGGAACAGATACAAAAACAGCTTGTATTTTAAACAAATACAAGCACAGACCCTGGAGTTCACTTTCTTATCAAGACAATAAAAACGAAAAGTATCTCTAATATTCTGATTCAAATGAGATCTAGAACTCACTAAAATAGAACATTCTTTTGATTAAAAAATCATATATTTAAAATTCAGTCATAACATTTGAAGTCCAAAGGACAGTTTCAAAACAATTAACAGAACCCATAAGAAATTTCAGATCCACCCCTTGAACAAACTGTTAAAATGAAGGATTCCAAGCACGTCCTTACCCTGTTATAGAACGGATGCTGAGGTCCCGTCATGCCACTGTAGTAGCTGCTGTGGGGCTGTGGAGACACAACCCCCCCTGCAAAGGGCCCATTGAAGGAGGTAGAAGAGGAACACACAGAAGGAGGCTGGCTGTAGCCAGAAGGCGGCCTGGGAGGGGCATCGTGTAAAGGAAGTGGGGGATATGCGAGTCCTCCGATATTAATCTGGTCTCTCGCAGCACGAACATCTGAAAGATTAAATTATACCCCAGAAGACAAAAAATACACAGAGTATTAGCAATTAGTCCTCTCACCCCCCCTCCTCCTTTAGTTCCCAGATAAGCATGATTTTATGCACTTGCCAGGGATTCCAAACGCAAGAAGTAGACAGGGAATTTCAGTATTTTGTATACATACTAGTGAGAAAAGACCAACTGCTCGGCTTTTTTTCACCAGTTGAAAAGTATTTGACATCAGGATTCTTCTCTCCAGAACTATAAAATTTTCTCTGACTTTTTAAGTTGTTTGTGCTATTCTAACGATTCCTGTGATTCATAGAGTATTACTGACTACTCATAACTCCCATTTGTCTCGTATTAATAAATACATTAGACTGCAGGTTTGCACACGATATGATCCATCCCCTGTGACCAGCAACAAACAATTCCCACAAAATACACCTTCAGCATCAACCTCATGAAGATTCTTAATGACAACAACAGACCACAGGAGTAGCGCAGGGCTCGCAATTCCTGGGAAACCGAGAGGCCAGTGCACAGGCCAGGCCCCCACCAAGGCCGGCGTGTCACCAGTGTGCACATGTGTTCAACTGATGCCTCAAGAACTTGAATTATCCCAAAGCCCAAGTGTTCTTCACAAATTGAAGTTAAAATTTTCGAAGTACTATAAAGCTTTTCTTACCCCGCTAGCTAGACATGCCTATTACAAACAAGACTGGTGGCTGAAAAATTACAATGGACTAACTGACATCTTAAAGTGGTGACCAGCTGCTAAAAGAAATCTAAAGTAAGGCTCAGGGTGTTTGGGTTTGGAAACATAATAAAGTTTCACAAGTAACATTTTTTTTTTTTAATTTTTTTTTTTTAATAGAGGCATGTTTTATTTATTTATTTATTTATTCATTAGTTTGTTTTGTTTATACATGCACTGGGTACAGTCAGAAGCGCGGGAGGGTGAGAGAATTCACCAGAGCCAGAGCGGGGAGCAGAGCAGGCAGAAGGACCAAAGTACACTGCTGAGGGGAGCAGTGGGCAGCAGGAGAGGTCTGCGCGCCATGTGGGACCCTCCTCCGGTGGCTGGGGAGCAGCCGGGGATCGAACCGGCGCTACAGAGGCTGCTGGCAGCTTCGCAACCCAGCGCTCAACCGCTGCGCCACCGGGGAGGCCCACAAGTAACATTTTCTTAACATTTCTAAGGGAATGTCAAGGCCCCTAAGCCTCCATTTCATTAATTCTCCTGTGTTGTGCTTGGTTCAGGATTTCTTGGTGTTTTTTAGTTTGTTTTTGTTTTTATCGTGCAGAAGACATTTATACAGCTAAGTTAGAAACAGGAAAATTTGGGGAGACTTCAGAAGAAAAATTAAATTCACCACTGAGACCTACCTGCAATAATTTCCCGCAGCTTGGGGTCGAGGTTTACAGTACATGGCAAAAAGGTCTTCACATCTCGAGTCACAAGAACAGGGGTTCTTGAAGACAGAAACACCTCAAAATTCCGTATATCTCCATCTATTTCAAGCAGCGGCTCAACATCTTTAGTTGTAGGAATGTTCTTTGATATTCTTCAAATAAGAAATAAATGAAAAAGGTCATTAATATCATTAGTAGAAAAACATTCTACCTGTAACATAAAATTTGTTATTTATAAAATAATACATTACACACCTTCCTCTCATTAAAAATTTTTAAAGAAAAAGCAGCAAAAAATCAGTATAGTTATAAAATTACCAAGGTAACAAGTAAAAGGTCAGAATTAGATTGCCTGAGGTCACAGGCAGGACTTGAGTCCTGATGCGTCACCCGATGATAACTTCTCATCAAAGGTCAGGTATTTTACACATGAGGATAGAGGGCCTCAGACAAGGTAAAAGCTTGCCTAATGTCACATGACTAGAAAAGAGAATCTGATTGCTCTAAAATCAATGTTTATAACACAACACACGATTCTTCTTGCCTTTGCAAAGGGAAAAAAAAGGAATAAATTTTTTTAAAGATTTATTTATTTATTTATTTATTTATTTATACAAGCACTGGGTACAGTCAGAAGCACGGGAGGGTGAGAGGATTCACCAGAGCCAGAGCGGGGAACAGAACAGGCAGACCGACGAAGTACACTGCTGAGGGGAGCAGCGGGCACGGCAGCAGAGGTCTGCGCACCAGAAAAGGAATACTTTTTAAATAAATTACATAAACTAGAAAAAAAGCACCATTTTTCTTTTGTCAAAAAGGTTTTATTTTCCGTTATAAATTTTAATTCAATATTCTACTGTAAACACCTAGATATACCAAAAAATAAGAGGGGGAAAATCACATGATTTTACAATCAGACACAATAATCGCTAATAGAATATGTCATTGAATTTTTTTTTTAATTTTTAGGTAGTTGAGTTTACAGATGCAAACAAAGCTTGAATATAAAAAGGAGTAATACTCATTCACTGAAAAACACTTAGAGCCTCCCCTGGTGGCGCAGCGGTTGAACGCTGGGCTGCGAGGCTGCCCACACATACACACACACACAAAAAAAAAAACACTTAGTAAACACTTCTATGTTGAACTATATACTCCAAAAATGGCCAAATATTGACAATTCCAAACTATTCAAGTGCCAGGCAAAGTGCTGATCTGTGGTAGTAAGTAAAATGCATCAGAGAGAGGGAAGGAGGGAAAATCTGGAGAACTTAAAAGACAAGAGGTAAATGATAAACAAAAAATAAGTGAAATGTAAACTCGCAGATGAACGGATAACTCGTAATATGTCCGCATCAGGGAATACTACCTTTCAAAAAAAGGGCATCATTTATTTAAATATGCAATATGGATGAGACTCATAATACATTATGTTGTGTTAAAGAATAAAGCCAATAAGGAATACATAGTTGTATGTTTCCATTTATATAAAAATAGAAAATGTAAACCAATCTCCAGTGACAGAAAACTGAGAGGGGTTCCTGTGAAGTTAGGTTGTGCGAGAAAAAGGAGACTGGTAAGGCTTCCCAAGGAATAGGAAGAAAATGCTGGAAGTGATAACTATGTCCGCTCTCCCGCCTGTGGTGATGATTTTGTGGGTATATATAAATATCAAAACTTGTAAAACTGTACAATTTAATACAGAAGTTTACTATAGGCCCCTTATACTTCATCAAGCTGTTTTTAAATTACTGTACATTTGGAGATATCTTTAAAACAGTGAATTCCCAATTAGTCAAGAATATTAGCTATAAAAATATACTGAGCACAGTTTCAGGAAAGCAGTAAAATTTTCATGCCCTTTAAAAAGTGGAAGGGTCTTACTCTAACTTTAGTCAGCTATGGCATTTCCTTGGGACTAGCACTTTACCGTTCAATGCTTGGCAAGTAGCCCAATATTAAAAGCCATCTAAGGGAAAACCCACAGAACAAAATTAGCAAACAAGAAAAGAATAGGGTGCTGGTGAGAAAATAAAGATAGTAATTTTGTCTTAATGAATTTCAGGAAGTCCCTTCCACAGCCTCATGCACACATGCGTGAAATGGAGGAAGGCCGCTGGAAGGAGATTACTTCTTAATAAATTAAAATGATATTTAAGCTGATTTTAAATATATTTCAAATGAAATAGAAAGTGGTTGCCCAGGGTCATCGGTATAAGTGGCTGAAATATCAGCGCTTAAACAGTTAAAAAGGTAGCTCGGCTAGCCTGGGAGTCAACATCAAACACTGAGAAGAGAAGCGAGAAATATTCAGATAAAACACACAGCTGACAAGTCACACGAAACAAATGAACTGAATTTTAATGCCGCTCTGCTTCACTCTGAGTGTGAACAGTGCTCCCAATCCAGTGAACAATACTGCTGTTCACAAGCCAACAGTCTACCGCTGGTTTCCAGATTGAAGTCTCTATTCTAACCTTTTGAGCTCAATACATGAAACTCTTCTGCTGAAAGAGATATTTATGTAAATGATAATCTTTTGGCAGTGGGCCACCAAAATCATATGTGCCTTTATTTTTCGGATATTTTTCCAAATGTTAGTATTTAGAGAATTTAAGTAACTTCACTTTTCAATTAAGAGTGAGTTGAAATTTTCAGCATTATAAATCATGTGAATAAAAGTTGCCAGCAGTTAAATGGCCCACAGAAAGCATTATAAAACCTCAGGCATCAATGAGCTCCTAGTAAGTTTAAATGTAATTTCTTTCTGCGCCACCAATCCAGCAATACTTGTTAACGCCAGCATCAATGTAAGTTAAAAGCATTTTGATTACAAACGACAGTGGTTTATAGAAAGTCCGTACTAATTCCTTGGCAGAAATTACATAAGGCATTCATATCCCTTCCCTTCAAAATGAGGTTTTAAATTGCATGGAAAAAAGTTCTATTTTAAATCAAAATATAAATAGGTTCTAGGGGTATAATTTACGATCGAGGCATTATTTGTCATACTTTATTTAAAAGCAGCTGCCTAATAATGTCACTATTTATTTAATCATGAGAGGTTAAAAATGAAGATAAATTTCATTTAAAAACTTGAACAGCGGAAGCGCCTAGCTGCCTCAGAGTCTTATAGGCCCTGAAGTGACTTTAACTTGTGGCGGACTCTCACATATCCTGCCGGTCAGTGGCCGTTTACCATTGACTCACCCCACATGCGCGCACGGGGCAGCTGGGGCCGGCAGAGCACCCGGGAGAGGCCAGGGCACAGCAAGCCAAGGACTAGAACCAACAGACACAACGAATCCACTTTTAGGCCCATCCCATCTATGGAATGACAACCAAGAACCCCAAAATCTTAGGAGTGAACAACAGCCCCCGCTTCAGCCTTACCCCTGTTAGTTCCACTCGCTCAGCCTCGGTATCTCAGCTCAGTTCCCATCAGGAAAGTCTGAGTTCAGACCAGACCCGACTCCTCTGTCACAAGCCCTCACAGCACACGCACCTGATGGCACCCCACAGTCACACTCAGAATTGGATGTGCCTCCGTGGAATGCCCGTCTCCTCTCTAGACAGTGAGCTCTGCGAGCGTCGAGCCCAGCACAGGACACGGGTGTGCCACGCTGTCTGGTAATATTTACAGGGTGAAAAACCTACACACAAAAAGTACCATTCCCAAAGCAGTCTCTTTTACGACAGTTTTCACTTTAATTTTCCTTTACACTACTGAAAAAGCCCCACTTCTTCCTCTTGCTTGTAGAAAACCAGCTGTCCCAGCACCATCTGTTGAAAAGACTATTCTTGTCCCAAGTGAATGGACCCATGAACACGGGGTATGTCTCCACTGGTCTGGGATTTGGCAGTGCTGTGGCATTTTCAGTGCACAAGTCTCTGACCCCACTGGTTACATGTATTCCTGGATTATTTCACTCGTTTGGAATCTGCAGTAAACAGAACGGCTGTCTTCATTTACTCTCAGATGGGTCACCACAGCTGGACAAGCACAACTGGTTTTTGTGTGTGGATCTGACCCCTGAATTTTACTGACTGCTTTGGCTCCCATACCTTTCCTGCGGGTTCCTTGGGATTTTCTGTGTAAGGAATCGCATCATTCGAGATGAGAGATAGCTTTACTTCTTCTTTTCCAATTTGGACCCCTAATTACACTGACTAGAACTTCTAGTATAATGTGGGATGGCAGTGGTAAAAGTGGGTGTCATGGTCAGCTCAGGCCACCACAATACAACAAACGGGGCGGCCTACACAACATTTGCTTCTCACAGCTCTTGAGGCCTGAAAGGCTGAGATCAGGGCACCATGGTCCCGTTCTGATGAGAACTCTCTTCCTGTTTGCAGTTAGCGCTTAGGTCCTTCTTATGAGAACATTAATCCCATCAGAGAATTCTACCGTCATGACCTCACCTAAAACCACTTACAAATACCATCACAATGGGGCTATGGTTTGGGGAGGCCACGTGCATTCCGTACACATCCTCATCGAGTACACATCCTCATCGAGTTCCTGTCTTCGGGGAAGCCATGAACTTTCACCATGGAGAAAGATGCTAGCTTCCACGGTGAAGCACTGGTACATATTTAAATCGCTTCATGTTTTAAAAATCCAGAGCAGCGCTCAACTGTGCACAAACTGTGCAAGCGAGCACACTACTCTACCCCAGGCGCCTGGGCCAAGAGAGTCACACCCAGCCAGAAAATCACAGCTCTGACTCACGACACGGCCTGGTCAGGACCCGGAAGGCGCACGCCCACATTTCCACTTAGATTACATGGATGATTCACCTGTGAAGCAAAATTCCCAATTAATCTTTCTAGGTTCTGGGTCAGGTTAGCTGAAAACATACTACCGCTGCAGAGCAAGTTTAAAGGATCGGTAACATTTGCATCCATAAGGATTTAGAATTTCTTGATATGATATTGTCAAAACTAAGCCTAGAGGCAGGAAGATGCCTGAGCAGCTGTGACAAGCACCCGCGTGTTCCGGCTCTAATATGACTCCAAGCAACTCATGTTTCTCACTAACTGAGTTTACTAGGGAATGTTATTTGAATCAACAAATTCCTTCTGCTCTGTTTATTCGCCTTCTGTATAAGATCTAATTTGCAAAAAGGTTTCCACAAGGAGGGGAAGGAAG